GTGAAACATTTGCTTTGAAGCATATTTCGAAGTCATCTCGCTAACACATGCTATCTTAATATATATTTTTAACAGTGGCTCCTCTCGCTGCTGTAGCACAAACCCACACGTACACCAAGTCAGATGGGGCTCGCTGAATGACAGACCCAAACGCCGCTTCCAGATTACAGTTTTTTTTTTTTTCTATTTCTCTCAAAACATGACGATAGCACTTTCCCTTTGGACCGTGCCTTGAGGACATATGCTTTCCACCTGTAAATAAATATGCAAACACGACCACAGAGTTTCCACACTAGCTGGTGGGCTGCACTGCTGTATGCCACCGAGAGATGCTACCAGCGTCTGTGCGACTTGTAATTAATCTCTTTAGTAGCTGCAGTCGATACTGGTGCAGATTGTAAAGCCCAAGTTTGATTGTGAACACGTCTGGGGAAATTACTGCAAAAAGTGCCTCGCAGCTAAACTTGCTTTTATTTTGTCGATAGCAAAAGGAGTAAAAAAACGTCTGATTCTAAATGTTTCTGAGGTGGTTGTGAGTCAGTGGAGGGTAGGGGCCAGCAGGTGGTGTCCTTTCTCCAGGTCATGGTTAGGAGCACAGGAACTTACAGATGTCCCATGATGCATCAGCAGCAAATTATTGAGCGTGATCACACAATATATAGAGCAGGTCGTTTGAAGAACTAGGATTATTCCTGCAGTCTAACTAAAATTAGACTACAGCGTGAACCATTACATGTAAAGGTTGAGAGAGTTCATCCGTATAAAAAGTATAATTTAATATAATATTCATTTAATATAATATATTTGTATCCTATTATAAAGGTCTTATATTTATTTAAGGAATATAGGTTTAAGGTTTTGTAGTACAGCTGAGTGAAATATGTGTAAAAAAAAAAAAACAAAAGAAAAAAACTCAAATTTGAAAAGATCTATTTAAAAAGTTGTGTTAACTTTACAATTTTTATGGGTATGTTACTTAAACTTCTCATCCATGTTGTCTCTTTAACTAAACCTGATTTATCTGTGTCCCGTTAGACCATTCCCAGTCCAACCCCTCTCCCCCCGGCGGTGGGCAGAGGCACGCCAGGCCCTCTCCTCTGTGTATGTGTGTGTGTGTGTGTGTGTGCTGGTGTAGGCCAGTGCCCGAGCATTAAGCCGTATTAAGCCCTAATTAATGAGTGTGCCAGTCGATGGAGGCCAGTTATTGGATTTGCTGCTTTAGCTGCTGGAAGGAGCGCTGCTTTAATCACACAGACACTCAGCTTTGGCGGCCGTGGAGAGCAGTGAGGTGAGAACAGAGGTGGATTACAGGTGTACATTGTGTAAGAAGGCCATAGGCATTCTGTCCCAGGTCAGACAGACACTGAGCCTCAGGTCTGCTCAGGGCTTTACCTGCTCTGTTACATAAACCTTACAGCACAGGTCACATCCAGAGCCATGACCTTTGAACCCTGTACGCACCAACAAAAGCTTTTTCAGCTCCTGAGTATTAACCTGCTTAATAGTCAATGTGGTCTTACTTTTTGCTGCTTAAATTGAATCAAATTAGTGCTGTGCTGTAGGGTTCATTTGAGTCACTTCAAATGAGATTAAGGCAGTTGGATACATGGTTAACAACAAGGACAATTCTAAAATTATGAATTTTGGATTTCTGAAGTGTCCATTTTACTTCTGAATGGTGTGACAATATTAACATTTTGATCTACCTTTTTTGTACAGTATTTTGGTATTGATACATTACAGTAAGCAAACGGAGATGGTTACTTATAATATAAATTTTCAGTAGCATTTCTTTTTTTTTTTGTTTAAGATTTGATATTTTTCAATTCTGACACAGGCCTTCCCATGCTCTTTAACAGAAACAGTCACTTCAAACAAACATGAAGAAGCAAAACAACAGGGTTTGTGTGTGACCTTTAGGTGCTGTTTGGGCTCCACACTGTCCAGAGTCCAGAGCTGTGGCTGACGTAGGCAACTGTGCACATTGAGAGGTCAAATCAGTGTCACTAAGGCTGTGCAATATATCAAATTTATGATTTATGAAATTTATGATAAATAAAATAAATATCTCTATTTAACTACACAATGTTCTAATCAAAAATATAATTACATATGTTCAGAATGGTGTGTGTATTTGGTATACTCTGCAAAACACCATACATCCTCTACTGTAACACTTCTAACACTTTAATCTTCAACTAAACATTACTGTCACAAAATATAGCCTTGCGTAATATTTTAAAATAGTTGTATATCTTCTCTGCACATTACCTTTGACAGTATAGAACTAAACATTTGATATAATTGTGATTTAAATTATTACCCAATTTATGTTATTTTATTGCTAGATTATTTTGCCATAATCAAACAGCCCAGTGTCAGAAAGGGCTGACCTGAAAGTTGCATTAAAAATGGCACAGTAATGAAAATGTAAAATAATCTTTTGTGAACATTAATGATGATACAGTGTACTACAACTACATAAATCATGATGCTTTGCTCTGTAATGGTACAATGCAACGTAACATAAAAAAATAATTACTTTTTTTTGGATCGCTTTCACCCACTACCTTTCAGCAGTGTCAAAATAAATATCACACCAAACGCTTAATAGTTTTGTACAGATTTGACTAGTGTTATAGAATATATATGAGTGAGTATGAATAGAATAGAAGTGTATTATCTATTGTAAAATTATCTTTTGTGATCTTTGACAATGTTACAGCATATTACAACTACATAAACCACGATCCTTTGCTCTGTTACAGCACAATACAATATATAAACGCATAACATAAAAACACAATTACTTTTTTGGATTGCTTTCACCCACACTGCGTACACCTTCTTGCAGTATCAAAATAAATATTGCACCAAAGCCTTAATATAGTTTTGTGTAGATTTGCCTAGTGTTATAGAATATATATGAGCAAATATGAATAGAATAGCAGTGTATTGTGCACGGCACCTTGAAGTGGGGCAGAGAGCAGATTGCGGAGGAGAGCGGGATGTTGCGTTGGGCCTTCTGTCACAGGCGCGCGGCTCTGCCAACATGACCAGCAGGAGGAGGGCAGCTGTCCACACCCCCTGGCTACATGCCCCGCCCACTGCCCCCCAGCCTCACAGCCCACCCTTTTTTAATGGTCTTCAAGACACACCACCGCGTCCTCACCAATTACTGTCACCTTTCAACTTGATTAGGATGGTTAATGAAATATTTCTGTGACAACATGACATCATTACAACTATACAAATGGATTCCATATTGTATGTTTTAATTCGCTCAAGAGAAGTAGGCTAATAAATTACTACAAACAAAACAAAAAAAAAACACTGGCCTACATATTGTCTGCAGCCTAAATCCACACATTCCACATTTTCCATATGAAGCATCTGTTGTGTGAGGGCATGCATTCACGGCTGCTTAAGACTCGAATAAAATCAAGGCCAACAGTTGTTGTTCTAATTTTTATAGATTTATTTTGCTGCTTCTTACTTACTCACCTGTTTAGATTGAATTAAAATTAAATTAGATTTTTCAGTAAATGAGTTCAGATTATTTACTGTGAAGGTTTAAAAAATATGTTGTTTTCTTACTCTTTTTTTTCTTTTAAAACGATAGATACTTCATTAAAAATGTAGCTCTTCATAATATAACCAGGTAATTATAAAATTTTCTTCACTGCTAAAAATGTTGTGCATTAAATATGTAGTATGTAATAGTATGTGTTTTACTTTTTATCAATGATACAAAAAAGTCAGTACTTGACAATTTGTAAATAATTTATAAAAATCTTCCTCCTTTTTAAGAACTGAATGAGCTCTACACAGTATAGATTCCATACAGTTTTTAACAGCGTTAAAGACATTATTGGCAACTCAGAGAAACTGAAAGACATCTGACTCCATATGGCTCAGTATGCAAATGTGCATTCCTGTGAGCTGAGCGCAATGCTGTGTGAACCAGTTCACCGCTGCACTGTGAAAGACTGAATGAAATAATGGCAGAGGCTGGTGGGAAATATTTGAGCTGTGCCCCTCCACACACCCATCCCAGCTGGAAGAGCCACCTCCATCAAGCACGCACAGCACCCTGAAAGGGCCCTTTGTCTGTGCTCGCTGGTGTCACCGAGGACACGCTAATTGGGACGTCCCAGTAATCAACAACTGCACAGAACAAACTTTCTCACTATATTTTACCTGCAATTTCAAAGGGACAGCACCATTCTATCTCTTTTTTTGTGAGTTGTAAGTTTGAGCTTTAGTCTTCCTTAAGACTGCCTTTGACCAATTATCATTCTAAATTAAAAAAAATTAATTAATTTGTATCTCTGAGTAGGGCTGGGTGTAGATGTACTAGTATTGCCATTATGTGATTCAGAGCTGCTCTGTTTAATGCAGCTTTATGCTCTAACAGAGACTACAGGTCAGCCTCTGTCATGCTCAGAGTAAATGACACGTGGATTTAACCAATCACAGCATGAACTCTCAGAGGAAGCAGGTGGCTTTAGTTATTTCATTCATTGCGTCGTATTGTCCTGTCAAAGACCATATATAAAACGACTTGTGTATTGAGCTCAAATCTTTGTGGGTTTCGTGGCTTTGTGGCTCATGGTAGGAGCATCTATGATCCCATTTTAAACCACTGTCTGAGTACTTTAGGTTTCTGCATCTTATTTTTCTATTTTTTTATGACTCAGCATAATCCTCAAAAAGGAAATTGGTTACCATGGTAACAGCATGAAAGTTTATTATAAACCCTTATTATATTGTATTTCATGAGTTATGTTTTTGTAATGACACTTCCAGACCAAATTGTATCTAGTTTCACTTTTCCTCGCCTGTGCTCACCCTTTGTGTAAACTCCTTATTTGACAAGCACAAGTCCAGTGACATTAAAAAAGTCTTTGTTCTCTCTTCCAATATTTACACCATTTGGCTGTGTATGAGGCAGGAGGAGCCGTCTCAGTCAATATTGTGTGTGTGTGTGTGTGTTGTAGGCTGCAGCAGTTGGACCGTCACTGTCAGAGCAGCGCTCAGCAGGTGTGTGAGCTGCTGGCCAAACAGAACCAGCTGATGCACGAGAGGAACGCACTCACAGAGGAGATGCACAACCTACGCATCGAGGTACAACCACCCAAACTTTTAAGACTGTGGAGAATGACTGCACTGTACTGAAGCATTAAATACTATTACCAGTCACATTGTTTAGTCTTTTTCTTATTGTGAAGGTCAGTGGTTCTCAACCTTTTTTTTTTTTTTTTTTTTTTTTAAATCTCAAGTACCCTTTAAGCTTTGTCACACACTCTGATTACCCCCTATCTCGGCTGTTAGACAAATACATCTGTCTACTATAGTAATACATTTTCTTGTGCTCAAATTTCTCTTAAACATTATTGTAAAAATATACTCCAAAGATGTTTTCAAATACTATTCAATTTATTATTTTTTTTTTATTTTAAATTTTTTTTTAATCTCAAACCATCCCCAGTCCCCCACTGTATCACCAGGGATCCTTGCACCCCTGTTTGGGAAACACTGGTGTAGGTTACTATATCAGGTGTTTTCCCAGCTGTAAGAGTGACTCATCTTGTGACTCATCTTCTACAAAATGTGTAATAGTCCATGTCTGTTTTTACAGCTTCCTAATGTGAGACAAGTGGACGTACTGACCACATGACCTGGAGGTACGTGTGCAGCTGACCAGTTCTAAAACTGATCTCCCAGAAGTTGGACCATTAAAAGAGTTGGACACAATTGGACACAATATGAAATAGATTTTTTACACTTGTGGGGTGAAAATGTAAGCTTTTATAGTTAAATTATGATTTTCTTTTTCTGAGTGAGACTTAATTATTTGCCTTGTAGATCTATTACTCCTTTCACTTATAGACATTCATTCATTCAGACAAGAAGACACACAAAGGAGAGCAGATTGACATAGTGCTTTATTGAAGCTGTCTGTAAGAAGGAAAATAATGTGCATCCCTATCATATACATTTCATGTGTAAAAATACTAAGGATGTACAGTGTAAAAAACAGCTTCATGTTGATGGTAAGTAGTTGTTTTCACGTGGAGGCAGCACTGTGTCCTGACAGCACGAGGACAGAGCTGTTGGATCTGCTTTTGTGTGAAAAATCTTTGTTCCCAGCTCTGTCCCAGAGTCAACAACACCTCATGAAGTTGACTTGACAATGCTTTTTTTGGGAAACTTGACCACTCAAACAACTGTAAAGCTACAGTAGATTTGGACATAGAAATCTGATATAGTTTGTATTATGAGCCTTTTTGAATGTGTTATTAATAAATGTGTCTCATGCTTCTTGTAATGAACGTTATTAGACAGGTACCAGAGATGGAACAGAGGGAGGGGGGGAGGGGGAGTGGGTTTGCAGATATGAGGGTGAGTACTAGAGACCGGTCCAAATGTTTGAGCAGTTCACTTGTTTTCAGTGAACGCAGGGCTGTTGGGTTACTAACAGCAATGACTTATATTTACAGAGCAGCGTAAAGAGGAAATACTACTGAAGTGGCATTTGTTGTGATAGATGTAGAGTACAAACAGCAGCAGCTTAAAGAGTGAAACTCAAAGGTTCCACAAAAGTCCAAGGGAACGTGTAAAGCTGTAACTGGCCGCTCCAGTGTGCCCAAAGTCACATTCCCAGTGGAAAAGCCACACTGATGAGCAAAGTTACTAAGATCCACCTCCTCCACCTGTGAGAATGGAGTGAAGTATCCTGATTGCTGAACTTTGACTGTTTCTTTGAACTCTGTGAGCTACTTCTGACTTAACAGGAAGAGTTGGATAAAGAGAGAACTTTAAAAAGCAAAAGACATCAGTGGATCTGCTTCTACAAACATTCGGACTGACCAAGTAACTGGTGACTGTGAGCCCTGAATCGGACATCTCTGGCATAAGGGACACTGTCCTTCAGGTTTCAACAGCTCATTGCTTCAAAGCTAACAGTGATATACAGAGGAAACATGTGCTTTAAAATCCTTGCTTTTCTTAAAAACATAAAAAGCCTAAATGTTTCTTTAAAGTGGAGCTGAATCAGATTCTTCTGAAAAATAGTGGAATGAGAAAGTGCCGTGGCCAAAGCTACAAAGCAGCGTTTTGATGAACTCTGGTTTCTAATGATTTTGGCGTTAAGTTGCACGTAGAGCTAGAACTCCTCCGCCGCGCACAGACCTGGGTCAAATCAAAGCTGAAATCCTTCCAAATACTCGGCAGCGCTCGCCCGCCGCCGCTGCCAGCTGGGTGCGATTTGTAGTCATTTTGAACTGTGGCTTGTGCCAGACAGGCTCAATTGATCAATCTCACACAAGTATTTTTCATGAGACTTGTGACTGGGGCCTGGTAGTGTGGACAGAGGACTACAGCCATCCTGCCTTTAAGCATCTCTGCAAGCGAAGAGCATTTCAGTGGATGTCCAAGAGTAAAGCCTATCGAGTAAGAGCAGCGAGAATTCTTAAAATATTTGTAACAAAATGAAACAAAGGGAGGCATTCATTTTTCAGAAAGACAGTAGAAAAAAACTACAGCCCCTTCATACTAAAACATAAAAAATAAATAAATTAGAAAAAAATTCAAGTTATTCTCAATAATAATAAAACATTCAAATAAATACATTGGAATGCAGTTTTCTACCCCTTGTCCTCAAACGTATATGACAGCTCTCTCAGAGGAACACCAATACAAACACATGCTTTGTCTAGGTGCTAATTGAAAAGAATAATAACTGGCATATGTTTTCCATAATTGAAGTGCTAGAAGTTAGAAGTTCTTCGGCTTTCTCTGAGCTAAACCATAAGGCTTACTCGGTTTATGAAGACAGGACTTTTGGGGGGACTTTTGAAAATGTTATTAAGACTGGAAGACATGACAAGCACAACAAGGTCCAGACCAGAGAGGGGACAGGGCGCCTCAAAAACAGGATTCGGGGGGTTTAGTGGGTAGACTTTTCAGAAACATGCTTCAACCTTTAACTCAAAACAATAGCACTTGCAATTAATTACATTCATCTCGCTGCGGGTTTCAAACTTCAAAACTCTTCTCATCGACTTCCACCTGCGCATATAATGCTAACCAACTAGGTCTGTCACGATAATTACTAGATCGACTTGTGAGGGTATTTTTTGTAAGATTTGAGCCGTAGAGGGTTGAATAAGTAACTTCTATAACTCAATATAGACACAAACTACTAAAAGTATTTAATTCTACTATTTATTTATTGGAGTTTGTGGTTTTTTACATTTAGAATAGTTTTTGGGGATAATCCTGCTTTAGGATGATTGTATCAGTGGCATAAATTTGTGTCAGTATTGTCTTTTATAGTTTTCTTCAACAATATATGGTTATCGTGACAGGCCTATAACCACACAATCCAACATAAGTATGACTATAAATAAAGATATATATACATATACATTGTCTTGAATGCGTCCTGTCTCCCTCTCATTGTCACATTTTGGTCACAAAACACAAAAAAACAAACACATGGAGCAGGAAGGCAATCCGCTTTCCCTCCTACATTCTTCAGCCATTTTGTTTCTTGAGGTGCCTTTTTCACTCAGCCCTAAGAAATAACAAAGTTCTCTTTTATAGAATCATAATACAATAGAAAAAGTTAAATATAAAACCGATGAACAATAAATAAAACATATATATAGTAGCAATTGCTGTGATCGATGTAAACCCATAAATTGTTGATGCATACCTCAACAAATTCTCAAAAAACCCTTTGATATAAACCCCTCACTTAATAGAGTACATTAGTTATAAGCGATCACATTAGAAAGATTAATTTCATTCTTGGAGCCATGATAACAATATGTCACAGTAAAGCTTTTCCAACATGGACACAAAGTACCGTTTTTCCCTTTTTTGGGGAGAGGGGTGGGACTTTTGAACAAAAAAAATGGGAGAACAATCAAGCAAACCCTTTTCCTCTTATTTTCACCTCTTAGAAACTGCATTGCATTGTGGGTAATGACTTAGAGGGGCATCAGTTTTAGCCATGCTGTGAGTTGAGGTGTGCTCCTTTAGACTCACAAAGCTGTACAAATAGTAGTAACATAGATCCATACGATGTTAGCTTAGCTGTTGTGTTATGATCTGCAGCATTAAGCCTGTGTAGCGTAGCACCGGGTTTCACTAGTTGCAGTTGGAGTACAAGTAGGAGGAGTTGTAGTACCTGTAGTAGTTGTAGTAGTTGTAGTAGCAGCAACAATAAGAATGGATTGCACAGAGCAAAACCTGAGTCGAATCCTGCTTGTGTCTACAGTATGAGGTGGTGTGATTTTCACTATTTCAGCTGCTTCCTCGTTCAATCCTAAATTATTCTTTGCAAGGATTGAATCAGTCTACTTGCAAAAAAGCCTGAGATACAACCAGTTATGGCAGTTTGGGTTGAATATAGTCTAGTTCTACTGTAAAAAGAAGAAACAACATTGAACTTGTGTGTTTGGTTAACTGCAGGAGCCAATCGAATCACAACAGGTTAGCACTGATGCTCCCTCTACTGCGATAAATGATAACCAGATGAGTTGGAGGAGAGTTTTTGATGTTATTAAGTATCTCTTCACGAAAATGTGAAAAATACAGATGAGGGGTGAAAATGAGAGGAGGAAGTAATGATGAGAAAGATAAAAGATCAAATCCATCCAGACAGGCAAGAGTCCCACAATGACCCTATGTGATGACACCGTGCCGCCCGCTCTACTCCCGCCCGCTGGCCGAGTAGGAGAACTGCGGGAAGTGCGGCCGTCTCTCATTGTCCAGACAATCCATACCGTCCTCATCAACTGAAATCATATCACAGTATTAGTCAATAACCAAATGTCCTTGATTGACTAAAACACATACAAAATACTAAGTGTTTGCTCCATGGCATGTTATTCTGCTGTTGATTTACACATAAATGACTCAATTAGCGACTCTGTCTTTTATGTGCCAATTTTCCACTAACTAGCTGATGTGCGACCTACAAAACAAGCAGAACCTCTCTGTTAAAAGTGCAGAAACACATTGGGTTCTCCTCATGCATAATTCAGTGGCAAACATTTGATAAAACCCGTATCTGGATTTTTTCAAACACTTGTGAAGAGCCACATGAGGCCCAAGGGCTATTACTCCGACACTAGAATAAACACAACAACACATCTAAATGCGTTCGTTCATCCCACTTCATTTAGTGAAGAAACAAGAGGAGGGTCTACATGCAATTAATTCAACTGTTAAAAGTGTGTAGAAGTAATTGGGGGACCTGCTGAATCTAAACAGTGAAGTTCCTCTGTACTGACTGAGCGCTGTAGAGGAGTGTGCCATGTGACTCACATTTCTCTGGTGGAGTTATGGTAATGGTCTGTGCCGTGAACTCCTCGTCAAAGTATCTGGTGTCTGTCTCTGACGTCACCTGAGGCTTAAAGGGAGGGACCAGCTGCCAGAAAATAAAAAAGCAAAGAAATGTGATGAGCTGTAGTGCAATGTAGACACTAATCTCAAATAAAACATGTTATTGCTTCCAATGAGAAAATCTTTTAAAAAGCAACTTTCTGGTATTTGCAAAAGTTCAGATTAAAAAGTTCAAACTGTGATCAACTCCAGATGTACAGAGGAAACAAAGGCTGTGGGAAGGTGGAGATGCAGTGAAGACACCTGTGCAGTGATCAGAGGTGTGACACAACAGGCCTGGGGTTATAAAGCTTCTGTTACACCTCCAGAATGCCCTGCATACATTTCCTGTTTACATGTGACACAAGCACAGTCTGTGCGGAGAGAGGAACAGAGTCTCAAACTCTCCTGGATTTAAAGAGGAGCAGGCATGGCTGCTTATGGAGGCCTCAGCGGGTGAGTCTTACTTGTTTAGACCTTTTTTCACAAAATCATATTTTTACACTAAATGACCTTGAATGTGAAGGCCCTGCTCAAGTCCTAGCCATAGCTGCTACTTCAGTATATTAATATTTTGATGTAAATATTATACTATTTTCCAGGTATAGTCCGTCAAATGGGCCAAGTGATTGCAGAGGAGCATGTAAGAAGTGTCATTTGGTGTGACCTGTGATAAATTAAATGATTGAAATTATCAAACTGACAAAAAAAAAAAAAAAATCTTGTCACAATGATAGTGTCAGAGGTTAGTCTGACTATAAATGCTCTGTTGCTGTGCTCTAATACCTTTTTATCATAGACATCCTGCCAGTCGATTCCAGTGAAGAAACTGTGTCTCATTATTTCTTTTGCATCATCAGGTCCTCCTCCAAGCCTGATGAATGACAATGACAATGTTACTTTACATTAGAGTAACAAACCCAGACAAGAGTTCCCCTCGTAGCTACCCTGACCTCTTGTTGGGGTCTTTGATGAGCAGGCCAGACAACAGAGACTTGGCGTCAGAAGACAGCGTTCGAGGGAACTTGATGTCCTCCATGAGTATGAGCTCAAACAGTTTCTCGTGGTCCTGGTTGTAGAAGGGAAGGCGCCCACACATCATCTCGTATGTGACCACTCCCAGGCCCCACCAGTCTACCGCACGGCCATAGTCGTTATCCTCCAAAACCTAAAACACACGCACACACTTTGCTTTTACTACAGGCATTTTATGAGGCCATTCCTTTTTACCGCACCTTTATTCAGCACTAATTTTATTGGGTTAGAGCTCCAAGGTGTTTTGTTTAAGTGGCAGATAAAACTGGGAAGAAAAGCTGCTGTGACTGAGCCAGTGTAGGAATGGCTTTGTAAATAAGCACAGATAATGAAGGGCTCAGGAGGAATTTAACTATACCCAAATATTTTATATTATGCAAAATGACTAATGTGAGCTTTTAGTCATGTTATAATGTTGCTACCTCCTCAGAATCATACCTCAAGTTGTGTTTTCTTTGATTCAGACATCTTTGATTAATCCTCAATTATTGGCCTGTCTACATCTTAAAAACTCAAAATGCTCAGTTTGACCTTGTGATGTCATGAAGCGGTTGTTTTGAAGAGCTACCTTTTACCTTTAGTTCAGTAGACTAGCAATTCCAAGACTGAAAGTATCCAAATGATTTTAGTTAAGGTGTATGGAGCTTAAAAACACAGTGAAGCACTTCCTGTATTACCGCATGACATTAGAAGGTGGAACAGTGTTTTCTGTTTGAAGCCTAAATATGCAGGGTTTCTGTGTGTGTGAATGAAAACAAAAGACAACTCCAGGTATGTTAGAGATGAGGAAACAACATCATAACATAGGTCAGAAAACAGCATAATATGGGCCTTTAACATTTTAGTAAAATTACAAATCACAGACAACATTTTACTTACAATAAATCATAACATCCCACGCATTACAGAAAAAAATATGGTGCCAATTAACTGTGTGTTGTTCTCTCTATCCAGTCAAATTCAAAAGTATTAGAATCACAGGTGAAATGTTTTTATATTTGTCAGTGTAAATGAAACAGGTTCTTATAATTCCATACTTATGTTTTTATTAATAACTTTTTGGCATAGAGGTTGCAGGCAGTGGCTAACATCATGGAGTGGCAGGTCTTCAGAGGACTACCTATCTCTCCCCAGTGGACTCTGCCAACTTTGCCTGAGAGCACGGCTGGCAGGAACAGACAGGCGAGCACCTGCCCTGTGTGGGTCAGGGCTGTCCTGTAGTGGGACTGTGTGTGCTTATGCCATGAGCTGAAGGACCAGCTTGCTCCTTTATCAAAGCCTCTAAACAGGCCCAGAATACAGCTCCCAGCTCCTGTGTGCCTGTGTCATCTAAACTTTTGCGTCCTCTGATAGCTCCTTTCCTTCCTCGGCTTTCATCGACTCTGTAACAGGAAGACCAAGGAACAAGGAGAGGAAGTATTTCAGGTGCAGCGGAGGTCTGTATTAACATAATAATCTTATTAACATGTAACACAGTAATGAGTGTGCACTGTACTCTGGTGTGTGTGTGTGTGAGTGACAAGCTGATCTGGAGAGGGGCCAGCGCGGCATATGCTGCACATCTCGCCAATAATAATAACATCCCTGTAAATAATGGAGCAGGCTGCGTGGACATGACCGCACGCTAACACACATTAATATAGACATGCAAACAGATTTTTGACCATGGACTGGAGAAAGTACCAGAAACCAAGTGGTTTAAAAATATACTGTACGCACTGACTGAGCGATACATGGCGATAAAAACTACGGGACAGCTGGCAGATGCACACACAAGTGAATAAATAGATTCAAATGAAGCACTCAGAATAGGATAAATAAAACCTGTTCAACCAAACTGCACAGTGACTATTAAGAAATATCAACTTAATGTGAGATTATTAAATACTGTGTTTCTTTGGCTTTAAACATGACATGATTTTAATATTAACATGTAAATCAAAAACGGGTAGATCATTTCAACATAACTTTCCACTTATCATGTTTTAAAGCCTGCACAGTTGAAATGCTGGGGACATGATGGTAAGTCTGCGTCTCACTGCTGCTCTGTTCTTTGCCTGAACTCACACTTAACACGGCACTGCTAATGACGCTTCAGTTTAACATGGGCTGGTTTTACCACATAGTGCCTCTGTGTGTACTGTGTAGTGTGTAAAGCTGGTCACCCTGTTGGCAGCTGCAGACACAAGCTGGGGAACAAAGTGTGCCGCCAGCTCCAGATATTCTATTGATTGGTACGGCTGGAGGGATAACACTGGCTTAGGCTGCTGGGAGACTGTCAGACGCTCACACACACAGCAGATGGAATATTTATCTGTCCTCATCAAATTCATAAAGTTTTCAGAGAGACAAACTAGGAGGCGTTTGGTGTTGGTTCAGTCCCTGCAGCAGGAGCAGAGACACAATGCTTTATGAAAATGATTAAAAATATTAAATTGTTATCGGCAGGACTGTGTCAGATGAAGGTTCAGTTTTAGATGCACACATGCTGTATGGACATGCATGAGCAGGCACCAGAGTGAGCTCACTGAAGGGAGTTCACTGAAGGTGCTTTTGTCCTGGGACTGGAATAGTAGCGGCAGCTCGTCTGCAGGCGGGGAGCAGATTAGTCCTCACAGAGCCAGGATGATGCCCCACTGCCCCAGGCCCAGCGCGGGACCTCGAGTGTGGAAAAGATGTGTTTAAAAAAACAGGCACCGTGTTATAAATGAGATCAGAGGAAATAGGACGAGACTAAACTGAAGAGCCACTTACAAACAGAAGAACATGAGTTTGATCTGTCCTGTCCCTGTGGGACAGACTGGTGGCAGCAGCTCTTGGGACCGGGTCTTGGCAGCCTGGACACGACTGCATGGGACAGGACAACACACAGCCTGTGGCTGTCCCCACTGCTCCACAGGAACTGTGCTCTGGCCCAACTCACTCCCACAGGGTAGAGCTGCTGTACACAGCCACCTTCACTACACAAGCTCTATGTGCTTTAATGGATTTCAATTCTAAAGTCTATAAATGTTTATGATTTCTAAGCAATAAAAAGACGTTACTTTTTTGTGTAATTTCTGTGAAAAGATGAGTCTGGTTATGGTACTCTGTTTATCTACAGAGTTATTGTTGGTTTCTAATTTGTTGGACAAAGCTTTACTTTTGGTTGTTCTCCATAAATCATCTGGACATTTCTCTAATGACACAGGACCTTTCCCTGATGCACCCCTGAAATCCTCCATGGTACCCCTTCCTCCTTTAATCGTGCTCCTCTGCCTCTCTGTAACTTGGCTCAGAGGGAACAGTGTTATTTTTACATGCGGGCGGGCGGGCGAGCAGAGCGTGAGGCGGGCGAGTGGCGGCGGCGCTGGTGTAGATTTCCAGGTTTTTTCCGAGCACCTTCCTCCAACCTCGCCCATCTGCCGCCATCTGCCTCGCTTTAGCCTGCACTTTCTACTGCATCACACACACATAAACGCACATCCTGTGAAAAATAACCAACAGCCTCCAATCAGCTTTTGGCACGCTACGGAAGGGAAAAAAGCACAAAATACTGCGCCAAATTGTCCTCCATACTTTTTCAAGTGGGATACACTCTATATGGCTGTCCCCTCATCTCCACATCGCCACCACCCACAGTCCCGCGCACCTCGCCAGTTGATCTAGCGGCCTTAGTAGGAAGCAGCGCAGAAAGCTGGCCGGTGGACAGCTGCAGTGAATCTACAAGAATGTGTTAGATGTATGAATATATGAATGCACATGTTATTTAACTAGCTCAGAGCCAATATTTCCAACAGAGAGAAAATATGTGCTCAGAGAATGACTAGTGGTGTTAATCAATCCATAAAAGACACTACAGTAAATGTTTGAAATCAACCTGCCTAAAACTATTCCATATATAAACCATTCTGCCTGTGGGTGAGAGCACCGGTCTGACTGCGTAGAGCGGTGAGCTTTGTATTTCAGTGGTGGAATGTAACAAAGTAAAAGTAGTAAAGTACTGTATTTACATAAAAAAATAATAAGGTGGATACTTTTTACTTTTACTTCACTACATTTGAGAGCAGGTATCTGTACTTTCTACTCCACTATATTTGAACAGGCCTGAAAAGTCCTGGTCTCACACAAAAAGTATTGTCTGAGACATGCTGAAATCCATGCAGGTTTTTTTTAATCAATGTCAAATAGAAACAGCAAGGAAAAAAAAAAAGTTTCTTTTGAACAAAATTCAGCATAAATGTCCATCAAAATCACCATACATCTGAAACTTTATTAGCATTCAAACACTTACATTACATTTTAGATGGGCAATTTAATACTTTTACTTAACTGCTTTAGATTTTTTTCATGTGATACTATTACTTTTACTTTGTTATCTGTGCTTGAGTACTTCTTCCACCACTGTTGTGCATCCCGTGGTTCATAGGGGCCGTCCCAGCCAATCCTTGAGTGGGACAAACTCAGTGCCTAATGGACGGACCGCCTGTGGATGCGCAGATGCTTTTATGTAGTACAAAGCCTCTGACAATCTGCACAGTTTACAGAACTCCGTTTACTCACATAACAGCCAATGCAGTCTGTGTCATTTATCATTCACGTGTTTCCAAGACTTTGTCATGTACCAAAGTGGATTGGACTCCTCTATGGGATTCTTATGCAGGTTAAAGAAGTAGGGAAATACTTTTGTTTTGCTGTGTTGTGTTCAGGCATATGTAGTTGTCCCAGTCCAGTTTTTTACTACTTTAAAGTAGAAGTGGGATGTATGAAAAATACAACAATACATACATTGCAATTAGTTTTGGCGAATTGCAGAATTAGAATATCAAGTTTATTGTCTAAAATTAAAACTATAAAAAATGATAGCAAAAGCTGACCAAATGTTTAGTGTAATCACCCAAACAAGCATATATGAAGTGATATTTCTAGAAAAGTGTGGTTAATTTTAATGTTTTCATTACAGGCAAATTTGTCAAATTACCACTGTAGTAGACAATGAAGTTTATGCACATTCCTGATGCTTTGTTAAAATATTGTCTAAATATTATTACTGGGATAGTAAAATCAAGGCATTGATTTTTGCCTATAGTGCGCTCCCCTACTATAAATAACATGACTGCTCTATTGCAATACACCAGAGGTTTATACTAGTATAGTTATAAAACTGATGCAAAAAAGAGTCCCACAGTGATTGTGAAAAGCAAATGCTCTTTTTCAAATAAACAAATATTTGTTATCTTGTAGTGTAATTTGTAAATAGGACAAGTAAAATAATGTTTTTTTTAGATTCATCCAGTTTTATATTTACACAGCCTAGTCCAAGAAAGAACTGCAACTTTTCCCAGAACGATTCCTCTACCTTTAATGAAAAATAAATCGCTAAACCATAACTGTATAAATTATGTAATTCTTTAGAGGAAGCCAAAGTGCAGAGAGAGGAAGTGTGAGGCAGAACAATGGGAGAGAGAGGAGGGAGACGTGTTACCTCGGGGGCGAGATACTCCGGCGTTCCACAGAAGGTTTTCATGGTAGCAGCGTCTGTGATACCCTCTTTGCACAGGCCAAAATCAGTGATCTTGATGTGGCCATCTTTGTCGAGCATCAGGTTTTCTAACTGCAAAACAAAGCAAACAAGAAATTGTCTCACTGATAAAAATTAAGGAGTAAAATCCTATGATTATGTACTTGGGAGAGAGAAGAAAAGACTGTTATTACCACTTTGAAACACGGGTGGCACTAGACGCATTTTGCAAATAAACTTCATGAGTGTCACAAAGCTCTGAGCCTTTCATTTTAATGTGTCTCACTGTGAGCTGTTTTCTTTTTGTTTCTTGGCTGATGAGGAAGTCTGGGGCCAAGGCCAAAGCTGCCAGGCACACTCAGACAGAGGCAACGCTGTACACACCTCTGGACCCTCCCTTGTCAAAATTACAAAGAAATCAACATTTTTCACTACTTCAACTTCAACTATTTATAAGGTCCTTGAGGGGCAATTGTCTCACAGTCAGTGATAGCAAAGAATTCATATGACCTTATAGTTCATGACAATGGATAAGGACATGATAAAAAGGATCATTTAAGTTAAGTAAAAAGTTAAATAAGTTTCTCATCTCATTGTCTTTTAACATAAGATTCAAAAAGAAACTGGCCAATTACACTTACACTGAAGTGCAAACCACACATTTTTGTCATATCTGATTATGTACAAATATTGTTTATGCTAATAGTAGACTCTTCACAGCAGCATGTTAGCTAGAGCACAGTGTCGCAAAGTTAACAGTAAGTTTTACTAAAATCATAAAATAAAAAATGAACAACGTATTGAAATTCAAATTAATTAAAATGAAAACTACCCAGTGATTTGTATATGTAGAATACTTATACCATTTGTGTTGCTGGTTCAGTATTTATTTTTTCTCAAAATTAGCATTAGCGGTGTTAGCATTCAGACATAAACCTCTACTTTTCTAAAAGCAGAAGGCTCCTCTGAGGAAGAATTCATTTGATTTGTGCAGTTTTTAACTCCCTGTCCACTGCCTTTTTTTTAATTTCATCATGACTCTGCAAAAAAACTCCACAGATACAACTGGGCAAGAAGCAGTGACGCTAACAGTGTGGCTGGCGGGCGTTGCTGAGCCTACTGCTAAACTAATATGGTTGTACCTTGAAGCAGTCAAATAGGAGTCTAATCAGCCACTAAACCGTTTGTCAGTGAAGTTGTTACAAACAAACCTATATTTTCCCTTTACACGTTTTTCTTTTAAGATATTTTAGCCCATTTGTTTCATTCAACTGGGTGTGCGAAATAGGGGTGAGGAGTGGGGAGAGACATTCAGCATATTCTTACAATGTAAAGGCATGAGAGCAGCCCATGCCCCTGAACTACTGACCCCTCCACCCCTGTGCTTTTACCTTGAGGTCTCGGTACACTATCTTGGCTGAGTGCAGGTAGTCCAGCGCAGACACAATCTCAGCTCCGTAGAAGCGCGTGCGTTCCTCAGAGAACACTCGCTCTCTGGACAAATGGAAAAACAGCTGCGGAGAGAAGAGAGGACGACGAGGGTGACAGAACGAACGGCAGAAGAAGAGGGAGGGGGGACAGCACAGCAATAATTACTGATTTATTGGAGGAAATTAGCACAACACAAACTGGCTGCCCGCACCATATTGAGATGATAGATAGCGGAGGAGAGAGGGGTGTCTCGGAGGAGGGAGGGGGGGAGGCGCTCGGCAGCTGGCGCCTCATCCAGCACATATACCTCTCCTCTGCTACCCTCTGGGCGCCATTGGCACAGTCCTGAGCGGAGTTTGGTGACAGGGCCAAATCAAGGGTTTAATCAAAACACTAGTCAAGTTAAAGATAGGGCTCATGGCTGCCAACTGATCCTTCCTCCTTAAAAAATTACACATATTTGGCAACTTCAAAGTGAGAGGTGTGATTCAGGTGATAAAGTTTGGGTAAAAAATACTACAAGGCAGTGCACTAATAAAATCTTAAAATCTGTGTAACGTTTCTGGGGAAGGGTCTATTACCTCCTTGTCTCCATGGAAATGTTGATTTGTACAAAACACTCCATACTAAAAGTTAGTTGTAATTATACTTTAAAGTCCTATATAATGCAAAACAGACTCCTGTAAGCTTTTAGTCATGTTATAAAGTTGTTACCTCACCAGAAACAAACCTGGAATTATGTTTTGTTTCATTCACAAAAGTTTATGTAATCCTGTATTATTAGTCTGTCTACATCTCCCAAGCTCTAAATGCTCTGATCCACCTTAATGTCATGTCATATAGTGGTAGTTTTCAAGTTAACAGTTACCTTTTACCTTTTATTCAGTAGAGAGGGGCAGTTCCATAGCTGAGATGATCTTGATGATTCTAGTGAAGGTGTATAGAGTTGAGTCCTCTATTACCACGACATCACATGGTGGAACAGAGTGTTTTCCGTTTGAGAGCAGAACACAATCTAAATATGCGGGATTTGTGTGTTAAATATGTGAATGAAACAAAACACAACACCAGGTATATTTTGATGAGGATTATAACATACAGTAAGATTAGAATATTGCATAATAAGGGCCCTTTAAATTCCAGCGCAGATGTGAAGAGATGGATGAAATTGTATTTACGAAACGAAACAACTCTATATTTCAAGTTTCTGTTCTGTGTCCCGTGCCAGTGTCTCACTCTGTCATCCAGCTGCATGCCGCCATGACACCAGCCTGCTGTGCCATATGAGTCAAGTTGTACAAATTACCCGTGAGACCTGGGGACGCACACCTCTCCATTATTGTAGAGGAGGTTTGCATATGGCCGCTGGAGTGATGCGTGTGGACCACCGCGCTCAGATGGAGAGAGGTAACACGACAGGTGGGCCTTCATCAGTGTACTGGCAGCTGTGACTGTGGCAGCGCCGTAATGGGGTGTGCGACTGTGCGAGTTTGTGTGTGGTCACAATTTGTCCATTGAAGTAAAAAAAAAAAGTGTGTGTTAGCGATGCGCGTGTCTGCTGTTTTGGGATGTGTGCGTTTCTGCTCGAGCCAGTGCTGGCTCAACTGTCTCTGAGTTACAGGGAGGGGAGCAGGTGACAGTGACTCCCAGGGAATAAACCAAGATTGCGAAAACGTCCCGATTAAAAATCTGAGAAATGGAAAAGCGGGAGATTCCAAACTAATTTTGTTTCCGAATGTCATCCTGGCTGTATCTGCCCCATAGGTGTGTTCATAAATAGATTCAAGCTGAGAGACAGTGATGGGAAGAACACTTTGAAAATGAGTTACAGAATACTGAATACCTGCATTAGAAAGTATTCCGATACATGGTCCAGTGGAGTGCTGTATTCTGAATTCTTTTAAACTGAGTTGCATTATATTATATAAACACAACGTAGAATTATAAACCACAAATAACATAATTTTTTTTGTTGCACAGTTTTATTGTCATTAATTTATTACTTTATAGAGAATTAGAGAAGGAAAAATTGCATGCACACACACTGCAACTGTTTAACATTTTTCTTATTAAAAACACATGGTCCAGAGCCAAAATGGTGTGATCAAGTACTGCCAAGTATTCCTTAGATTTTAGGAAATTACCTGTATTCTGAATATCGCCAAATGAAAAAGTAAATGTACCAGAATACAGTTACTCAAAATAGTATAGGACTGTATATTATAGTATTCAGAATACGTATTTTCAGTACATGTATTAAGTTTCTTCCCACCACTGCTGAGAGACACGAGGAGACAAGGAGGATGATGGCAGCCAAACTTTATGAAAGAAAAACAAAAAACTCCAGAACTTTACACTGATCAATGCAAACAACAGCCAAAACACAACTAGACACTTTTAACTTCTATTCTTTTTGTACTGCATGTTAAAGGTGCACTGCGTAACTTTCCTGGTGGAGGGTCTGTCACCTACTTGTCTCCATGGAGATGTTATTGCTTTGCCTAGAATATTCCATGGTATAACATTAAACACATCTATCTAGCATTTATTCATTATGGGAGTTTCTGTTGCTCAAAAATACAGTAATTCACCCTGTGAATAGGGTTGCCTCTCCACAGACCTGATCTGTAATGTATACCGTAGTTGTCTCCCTTGAGACAGATAAATTTAATCTCTACCCTGCAACATTCTAAACAAAGTAATAACATCTCGATGAAGAAGGTGGTGATCCCCCATTAGAAAAGTTAGGCAGTGCACCATTCTTTTTGAATATTTTAAACATTTCTTCATCAGATTCTATTGTAAAGTGGCCATATAACTGCTTGTCTTTTAGCTAGACTAGTCAGACCAAAAGTACACTGGTAGTTGCACAGTTGAAAGGAATGCAAATAAGTGTAATCCATCAAAAAACACTTCTTTTTTCCCTTTTGTAGTAGCAGCAACAGCAGCAGCAGCAGCAGCAGCAGCAGCAGCAGCAGCAGCAGCAGCGTGGTGTGACTGGTGCCTGTCAGTTACTGTGGTAAAGTTGTGGTCTAACTGATGAAGCCATTGATGGGAAATGTCACATGCAGTACAGTATATGAGTGTGTTTTGATCTGTCTCTTACCTCTCCTCCATTTACATACTCCATAACGAAACAGAGCCGGTCTTTTGTTTGGAACGAGTACTTCAGAGACTGCAACAACAATCACGCATACAATGACACACACTGCACATGTGATCTGACATCAAAACAAATCAAAACCCTCACGTGCGCATATATTGTTTTACATTAATCAAAAAACAGACAGTGCGGCACAAATGTAAATGTTTTGATGGCGGTTTCCTGAAAAACAACTTTTTTCATTTTTGGTTCAAGCACGAGTTGCAGGATGACCTGAATAGAAAACATTGTTGTCTTTCAATTTTGCCAAGTTCGTAATTTAGGAGTGAATGAGCAATGAACAATTTCTCACTCAGCAGGCTGCCTTTTCTGGGGTCTAACTAACGCAACGGGAGCAGGAAAACATGATCATTCATAGCTCTACTGTGTACGCCTGTATTGCTTATTAAGATTGGAGTATGCATGTTGTGAAGAGGCTAAACAAAAGAACAGTTGTACAGGGGTCTCTTTGTGGTTGCAGGTGTGGCACGGGCTCAAACTCTGATGTGAATTATCCCCAGACGACGAAGTGTGTAGTACTGCAATTGTAGCACGAGTCAGACAGTAGCAGTGTGTGTGTGACGAAGAAGAGTTAACCAACAGATGTGGCCCTTAATGTAGAACAATAGTGTGTGAAAGAGTTAATCAGCCCTGGGAGATGCAGTACATATAGATCAATATGACAGCAGCCTGGAAGGGGAGGTGCGTGTGCATCTTTACAGATGTGAAATTATAGAGTAGTTTTCAAAATATTTAAAGGCTCTTAAATAGAGCTGGGTGATATGGGGAAAAAAAGGTATCAGGATCACTATAGGTTTTAATTTCCTATTGATAGGACCAATAATTCTCAGAAATTCACATTTAAAAGTTGAAATGAGTTTGTACAGTATATTAAACCCAATGTATATGTGTGTTACCACTAGCGGCAGAAACTCATAAACTTGAAATGAAGAAAGCCTTAATCGGTCGATGGATTAAATTTTATTAGTCAACTTTGCTATCTTAAAAACTCTTGAAAACATTCACCTTAGACTTTCGTAAAGTTGTATTTTATCAAACGAATGAATGTAACTAGAAATGAATTGAGTTGTACTGTGGTACTCACCGTCAGAAAAGGATGCCTGGTATTCTTCAGAACTCGACTCTCTGTGAGCGTGTGTGCCACTTCATCCTGTTTTAAATCAATAAAAATAAAAATAAATATAGCAGCAAGCAGCAATGATCACCCCTCACATGTGCCAACGCCGCACCCTGCAAACACAGCTTTTTCCTGAAATCGGAGTTCCTATGAGCAAATGGGAGCCATTTGTATAGATGCAAAATGGCATAAATTTTTTGCAATTTTTGCAAACTCACTGCACAGAGTATGTAACTCGGAATCAGCGACATGTAACGTAGGTAGAACGTGCATAATTTTATAAATGTCAATTTACACCAGAGGCAACAGAACTGCTCCTGTGACACCAGCCTGTGTATTGTATTTTATTGTATTATGTATTCATTGTTGATTTAGTGAATTATATTTTAAATCGCAAAACAAAAGTTGACAACAAGAGATGATGCTTTGCAGCCAAAACGAGCCATATCTGCGGTGCTTGAATTAATTAAACTACTCACCATTTCACATTGGTTGTCTGCACCACGCAAGTTGCTGTCTGATGTCGTAAAGTGTTTTATATTTATTCTAAACAGCTGTAAACTCTCCGTAGTTCATCATGAGTCGTTTCCCCAGCGACTGTAGCAGTTTTAGAGAACGTATTTTGAAAGAGCATCGGAAGTTTATTTTGACACTACGTGCTTATTTCCTGCATTCCCCCGCTAAAAAGCCTGGAGATGCTCCGACGCTTTGATGCCCCACCCTTTGAGATAATGTGTACCAAATTTGAGCCCATTCAGGTGAATACCCTAAGAGGAGTTTGTAAAAGTACTACATTTACAGAAAATGCTTTTCAAAGTTTAATACAATATTGCTGATCCTTAGTGGAGCAGACTGCATTGCCGTAATAATATTTTTTACTTATCTTGTCATGATCTCCTTCTGTGTCAAATTTCATGATTCTCAGTGCAATTTTTTTTTTTGCTTATACCCTAAGGGTCTGTCCACACTGCGCACATATTTCACCCTACGCGAGTGTAAAAGCTGCAACTTTTGGATGCATTTTTTTTTAGAATGCATTAAAAGTGAATGAGGACACCCACACTGCCTGCGCTTGGCGTACGGCACGTCCTGCGCGCATAGATTTCAGAAAATAGAATCCAACCTATTTGTTGACACTTTACACGAGTGTAGGAGCTTATCCTAAAATCAAAATACATAGAGAGCATGCATCTATTGTTGTATTTGCACATTTAGAATGAGTAGAATGTGTTCCTGTGACTGTTATTTATCGTTTGAAAGAGCCCAGGTCCAGAAAGACTGTTCAGCTGCTTAGTTTCACTGTAGACCTGTTACAAGTGGATAAACGTGCCCAGTCAGGTTTGATCAGCTTTTCCATTGAGAAACACAGAGCCAGTGCCCCGCACAAATGTCCTGCTGGTGCTCCTGGTATGACTGTCCTTGCATTGACGTGGGACTGTAGTTTCACAAGGTAATGCAAGTAAACACTGACACATGCAGTGTGGCCAGGCCCTAATGCAATTTTTTCTTGTGTGAGGGTGCTTATGCACCATTTTATTGATTTTTGAAGCGCGAGTTCTAATGTTGGTCAATTTTCTGTGAGTTTGAGTGAAAAATGGGTGGGTTAGTTAAGAGAAAAAGTTTTTGATACAAGAACAATGTTCCACAACAACAACAAAATTTTTCTATATATTAATCTATATATTTTCAGAAAGCTTTGCCACATTCCTACGTCATGGTGAGAGTCACTGGTCACTACAGGCAACTCACTTCCCAGCTACGCTTTGCGATAACTAATACGCCCTTCGCCAGCTTCTGCCGCTTGGGCCTAAAAATAACATTCAAACATGGATTGTGGAATGAAAAGGTCCAATACCAAACAGGGCAAACCTTGGCAATGATAACTTCTTTCTTTAGAATCTTCATGGCGTAGTATTTTCCACTGGCCTTCTCTCGGACCAGGATGACTTTGCCAAAGGTGCCTTTACCAAGCAGCTTCAGGTAGTCGAAGTCACTCATTGTCTGAAAAACAACATTAGAAAATACATCTAAAATAAAATTACAGAATAAGTCATTTTCAAAATCACACAGTACATCAGCTCATACAATCCATGTACACAGAATGTTACACTGAAGATTTTAAAGGTCCTGTATTACACAAAATGGATTTGAGTTTTGATTCTTGTTATAATGTTATTACCTCATCAAAAACATACCTGGACTTGTGTTTTGTTTCATTCAAACATGTTTTGAGTAATCCTGTATTTTTAGGTGGTCTGTATCTCTAAAGCTCAAAATGCTCTGCTCCACCTGGTGATGTCATGCAGTGGTAGCTTTCAAGTTAACAGCTCCTGTTTACCTTTAGTTTAATTTAGTTTTGGTTTATTTGACAGGGACCAGGTACGGGAGCATTAATCAAAGAAACACTAAAAAGATCCTTTGTACAAGACTGTAACTTAGAGCTAATTTCCATCTGCAGTCCATAAGACATGAACAATGCAATCTATACACAAATAGTAGACTGATACGAAATATGTCTAGCCCACTCCCACTCTGATCTCTCTGTACCTTTAATCAGGTATGATTTAGCTGTTAATTAATGTTGACATTTCTGCGTTGTTAAAAAATATGTTCTAAATTCAGCAGCATTAAACCTTTTGAAGTCTTTGCATAGTTTCAAATGTGCTGGTAATTTGTTAAAGTTTTGAAAGAAAATGCTGATTATCCTAGAGCTGTTTTTCTTTTATGCTACACTGGCCACTGCATGTGGACCTTGTATTTCTGGTCATCTGTTCAATGTGACAAACCTTTTGAGAGGTGGAGGAGCCATATTGTTAAGACAACAGTCGCAAATTTCCAAATGGAATCATGTTTCTAAAGCTTAGCATTTTATGTTTGCCCAGTATTTTGCAGTGATGATATTATTGCGGTTTTGTGTCAAAAATCCTCATAGTTTGATTGTCGTCTTATTTGCTTGTGATCAACATGAAATACAAAAATTTAAATGAGAAAATATCATTGCATAGATGTAGGTTTTGGCTGCTTGGATTGTGAGTGAGTTTCTTATACACCTGAAATTTGTAAAATTGTATTTCAATGTATGACAAACTTTTTAAATGGTGCTTAAACATTAGTGTTGAATCTAAAATTATGCCAAGGTATCTGAACTCACTGATATTTTTCATCAGTTCCCCTTTAACTTTAGGGCTAGGTTTTATGTTTTTGTTTTAGCAAAAAAAATACTGTTGCAGTTTTTTTTTATATTTAATGTTAAATAGGAGTCAACTATATAGAAATTTTGTCCATTGCCACTGATAATTTGGCTGCCACTTGTTCAGGGTCCTTCCTGTCTTCCCACCAGTCTTTTATTGTTGCATAGTTACTTTTGGCTTCATCTGGTTTCATCACATTAACACGCTCTTATTACTAACTGAATAATAATTGAGAGGTTATTTGTTAGTTGGAGCCCTAATCTGTTGTCTCTTACCTTGCGTTTGTGGTGTGTGGTGGAGATGTCCATTTCCTCCTCCACCATGTTGTCGATGTTGGATGTGGGGCTGCACTGGATCCTCTCCTCCTCTTGTCTCTGCAGCTTATCGGCCACCATCTGAATGGCTTCTGTCCACTCATCCCTGGATTGCAGAAAAACAAGTTTCTTAAATCTTAATATAGTCTAAGTTTCAGTTTACAGGTCTTATATAAAACTGACTCTTGTGAGATTTAAGCCATGCTATAATGTTGTTACCTCATCAAAAACATTCCTTGGGTTGTATTGTTTCATTCACACATGTTTGAGTAAAGCTTTATTATTAGTAGTTAATAGTTTTCAAGTAACCTTTTACCTTTTGTTCAATAGAGATTGGCATTTCAAGGGCTAAAAATATACATATGATTCTAGTGAAGGTGTAAAAACATAGTGGAGAACTTCCTGAATTACCACCTGACATAAGAATGTGAGTATTTTCTGTTTGAGAGCAGAACCTAAAAATGGAAGGTTTGTGTGTTAAACACGTGTGAATGAAACAAAACACAACTCCAGGTTTGTTTGCGATGAGGAAACAACATTATTACATATATCGGAAAATAGCATAATACGGGCCCTTTTATCAAAAGATGTAAAAGCAGGTGCTGTGATAGTTGGATAACCAAAGTGTACACACTAACACCAGACACCTGCACAGTTCAATAATATGTCTACAGTTAACCTCAATCTACAGTCCCTTAAATGTTTTTCAATGAACACAACTACCTATTTGTTCAGCAGTGGGGAAACATGGTCAGCTAGAGACTCAACCAAATGAGCAATGATCATGGAGCAGAACTAATGCCACCCAGTCTGAGCGTGAGTGCTGGGCCCGTTCACTGTGTGTGTGTAGTAGCACACCCAGCAGCGAAGGGAACAATACACTGCTGTTTGCTAACACTGTTCCTCCCCATTGACTTTCCATTAGAGCTGTTGTTCAACATCTGCTGAGCGAAAGTGTGCGTACATTGTGTGTGTTCATCATCTCCAGCACAGGACCAGCCATGCATCAGTATGTACAGATCTGCTACTGTGTGATAATGATAGATATTATAGGCTCTATAGCTTTCTTATGCTTATTCTTATCCAGTGCCACAATAATTATAATATAGCCTTATTGTTCAATATATGACAGATGGAACAATATTGAAGTGGTCAATATTTTCTTTGAACAAGTAGTAATTTTTTGGTTATTTTTTGTCTATATACCATGGGCTGAAAACATCTAAATTATTCTAATGAAGGTGTATGGAGTTTAAAAATACAGTGGAGTACTTCCTGTATTACCACATGACATAACATGGTAAAAGAGTGTTTTCTGTTTGACAGAAGAACTCCAGGTTTGTTTTTGGTGAGGAAACAACATAGACAACAACAAAGATTAATATGGGCATTTTAATAGTGAAATAGAGAACCTTGGTGTGATCAGAATAGTTATTTTGTTGCTATATCAGTACTTATACTTTTCTGTATTTTGTGCATCTTTAATTAGAAGTTGAAGTTTTTGTCCATAAGAAGACAAGACATTTTGTTGTTTGCAAAGGGTTTTCTGTTCCTCAAATAGTAAAGCAAAAGTTCAATTCTGTCAACTGGACAAAAGTTTCAGAGTAAAGACACAGTTCATCCAAGCAACTTCTTCTTCTTTTGGTCAAATTGCTGGTGGACACTGCCTTTCTACCTTAATGGAGGAGCTAACGACAATGAAACTAACACGTATTTGTTCATAGTTTCTGTTTGTTAGCTATTGAACTAGACTAAGTGTGAACTGTCCCTGACTCATATTTAGCATAATATTTTTTTTCTTGTGCTATGGATCATACCTGGATGACTGCGGAATTACATAGACACATTTGGAATCTTTCAAATTGTGATTTTTATCGGATGCTGATTTTTTGAGCAGTTTCAACTTCAGCCTAACGTACCTCAACTAAATAAAGCACAAACTTAAATGTAAATATACTTATAAATATCAAAGCTGAATTCACTTTTCCATTTTAATTTCAAATATTCTTGTTGCCAGTTGATCCTCTGGTAGCTTCAGAATGTCTAAAGGTTTCCTGCTTTGTCTCCCCTCAAACAAACTTAAGCACACGCCACATGCCGGGGTTAGACTCACACTGTAAACTCAGTGGATCGAGGTGAAGCCAAGATGATATTCAAATATTGTCAAATCCTAAGCACTCCTCAAAAGCAAGTTAGGATTTACGCTCACACACTTTGAAACTCTTTTGCCTTGTGAAGCTGTGATGGATGGTAATAATGAAACCTGATTGACTCCCAAATGATCACCCCTGTGTCTTATGTTTTGTTTTGCCCATATGTTTCCTTGAGGGATCTGGAGAACACATCCGTCTGAACCTATACAGCGCTGTCTGCTTCTCTGTGTTTTTTTTAAAGATCTGACTGGCTTTTTTACTTCTAAACATACCCTACACACACTCCAAACAAGGGCAAACTTGCTAATGTGCGACAATGGAGTAATGGGTCTGTGCGCCTACATGAAACGCAATGGGAAACTCTCTCAAGGTCAGGCAGCAGAGAAATGCTCCCTCTTATGGTTAGAGTGTTTTTTGTATAATGAGTTTTTTTGCTAATGAGAGATAATGGGCCTGCCTACAGTCGGGCACAGTGCCAGCGTGTGCCACCCCTCTCCGCTAACGGCTGGGAGAGCTGGAACCCTGCCAGTTTGGTACAGTACGTTGCATACAGTTAAGCACTAAACTTCAGTGGGGAAAAAACACTCTTTAAGTAAAACATCTGGGACTTTTTATTTAGCTGACCGACAGAAATGGACAGTCATTAAATCGGACACATGCTCGCTGTTTCCTATTTGATTATCTAGCTGTGTTTTAAAGCGGCACATAAGAAAGGCGAAGTTGGACAGACAGCTGCAGCATACAGAGACAAACTCAAAGCATGCGCCCGAGCATCTGTGGTCTACTGGGCAAAGCTGTTCATTTTCAGGAGATGAACACCTCAGCTCCTCAGAAAGAAACCAAGCAGCTGGAGAATTTATGAAGACGAGACTTGAAAGGTCTCCTCTCCACTCACTCTGCCTCACCTGCTTTTATTCGCCAGAAGAAAAAGACAAATACTTTCACATGCTATACTGCTAACTGTTGTGTGAGAGTGTCTATAATTACCCACATGTGTGAATAGACTTTTAAGGGGAAAAATTTAGATGTCAAGGGTGTGGTGGAATTTTGCATCCCGATAAAAGAAAACAAAAAAACAAGTAAATATTGATCAAGAACAAAACACTTCAAAACAAGTTCCATGCATTATTATATTATATAAGTATTTTTAAATTAATGTTGACAAGTTGCGATATAAAGATTTTTTAATATCATGTCAACTTTGAAACTGAAGTTCTTTTTATTTTACTGGATGTAATTGATTTTATTAGTAAACATTAGTTAAATAAACGTTATAGGCTGTATTAGACTTTTAAACAACATTCTTAATCAAAAAAAACTTTTCTGTTCCACAACAAAGGTTCATTTATGGAAACACTCCAAGATGTTTTTTCTTTGCATTAACATAAAAATATGTTCCGAAAATAGAATGTACCAAGGTCTATTACGATAACAAATTCTGTGTGATTATATCGCTGAAGTAAATACAGCTGATAACTGATAATATTTAAACCAAAGCATAAGGCAGAATTATAAAAAAAAATGTAAATCTACAATATTGTTAAATATTTTTGAGCTGTATAAATAAATGGCAGAATTCAACACAAATAATTAGTTTATGTGATTTTAGTTCATAATTCACTCTTCTACAGCTCACATCTGATTTTATTGCAGAAAAAAATAACCAAAAAATTCCCACGAGTACAACAAATTTATCATATAGTGAACATAAGTCAATATAAATTATTTATCGTGATAGGCCTAATGTCAAGGGTAATTTAAAGGTGCATTTTGTAACTTTTCTGGTGGAGGGTCCATCAAATATTTTCCTCCTTGGAGATGTTATTGCTTTGTCCGGAATGTCATAGTATGATATTAAACGTTTCTATCTTCTTGGAGACCAAACCAGACCAAATTACAGGTAAAATCTGTGGAAAAAGCAAGCCCACTCACAGTCAGAATGCCTGTTTTTCCAGGTATTTTTGAACTATAAATCTGCCTGTAACTTAATAAATGTAAGGTTGAGCTGTTTAATATCATCCTATGGAACATTCCAGGCAGAGCAATAACATATCCATAGAAACAAGCAGGTGAGCAGCACTCCAGGACATTATCTTTGCATTAACACAAAAATATCTTTAGTAAATACACTGTACCTCTCATCAGGAGTGTCCACATGAAACGTCCTCTCGATGACAGTGGTCCACTGGAGACAGCGAATTATGAAGGTGTTTGGCTTTGGCCTCTCTGTCTTCATCAATTGGCATTCTGCAAACAGAAAAGTTCTGATTTAAAGGGGCCATTTGATACTATTTTCTGATCTATTCACATGTTTAACACGTTCTTCTCTCACACTGCAAACACTCTGTTCCACCTTGTGATGTCAGGTAGTAACACAGGAAGTGCTCCACTGTGGTTTTAAACTCCGTACACCTTCACTAGAATCATTTGGATAATTTCAGTCTTGGAATTTCAGATCTCTACTAAAAGGAAGCTGTTAAGTTGAAAACTACAACTTCATGACATCACAGGGTGGAACACAGCATTTTAAGCTTTAGAGATTTAGACAGTCTAATAATTCAAGACTATTCAGTTATGTTTTTGAGGAGGTAACAGCATTATAACTTGGTATAAACCTCACAAGAGTAATTATTTTGTAACATAGGGCATGTTTTGTATAATCTTTGACAAAAATAGGCTTAAGCCAAAACTACAGAGTTTAGTATAGTGGTATATTTTGGCTTTTTTCACTATGTTATGGGCAGTTTTGTAAAGGACATGTCAGAAATATACAAGGGTGAATTGTTTGTCTGCAGTGAATCTCTGGCTTTAAGTTTGTATAATACAAGAAAACAAATGTTTACTGTTAGTTTTATCAGCATCTTCTTCTGTCGGTTTGTTAGCTGTTGTTGGATATTGATGGCATAGTGCACGGATATTGTCTTTTCTAATTAATAGTGGTTTAAAAATAAGATTAGTCATATTTTAATCAAGCTGGAGATTCAGTCAAATCTAATCAGCTATGATTTGGTTGAGGATTTTTAATCAATAGGTCTACAGCCAATCCTCTGTCAGCAAAATAATTTCTTTGGAGCAGAGTTTGTACTTGGGGGAATGAACTGGGATAAATTCTGTATTAAAGGGCAATAATTATAAATCTGAGCAACAGGAGGACCACCTAGCCCTACACTATTTTGTAGTGCAAGAGGGAAACACATATATATTTATTCTTTATTTTAGACACAAATATTATTCAGTCCACAGTTAAAAAACGAATGAACAGGATAAAAAAAAAATACCAAAAAGGCTAACAAATTAGTCCATAAAGTTCATTAAAGAATATAGAGTCTCTGTGCCCAGTGTTTTCTCACAGCAGATATATTGAAATTCAGACAAAAAATGACCCTTTATATAGGAAGGTGCTTCTGTGGGAGTAGGGATGTTTTGTAGCTCGTACACATGTAGAGAATATCTGGAGAGTGGAGTTGTTTTGTAACGAAGTCCAATCTAGAGGGCCATTATCATACAAATGCATAATACAGTACACAAAGTGGGGAAGTTAGGTACACAAAGCCAGATGGGGCTACGCACTCGCCGTGGGAAAGAATACATCTTCATTGTCCCTCAGCAGTCTCCCTGGTTATTGGGGACAAGAGCTGACATAAAAGAACATTACGATTCATCTTAGTCTTCCCCTCTCACTCCACTGATCTCCATGGTGATTATTCATTTACATAGGCTTTTCTCTTTTATGTAAACCTCACCTCTCGCCCTGCACATGTCTCCTATCATTCACTGGCTTCATCTAGGCTTTGTCCTCTATCCTGTGTCCAATTATTCTCTGTTTAAGTGTGGCACAGCGCAGCACGGCACGCCTCCTCCTAAATATAGATAGGAAGGTTAATGACAACAGGTCGAACACACATCTGACTCTCAATGTAAATTCAAGCTGTGCTCATAGACAAAACCTGAGCGCCCGGTGAATGGAGCCTGCTGTGCCATCGGTAAACAAGGTCACGCTACAGGCCATGCCAAAAAGACACTGGGCACGCACAGGCTCAAGTTTTTAAATGTGAACTGGAAATTGGGTTGTTGTTGTTGTCACAGCAGCAGGCTTTTGTGAAATGTGTGTAGCTGTTTAGTGGGTGGATATGCGCGTGAGTTTGTGTGTGTGCATGTGTGTGTGTGCGTGTGTGTGCGGCGAGCTTGTATGGATGAGTCCCTCTGCTGGGAACAGGCCTGTACCCTCTCTGTTCCATCTGACCACTTCTGTTGTTCCTGCAGATAAACAGCAAAACGCAAGCAAATCGCACACAAACTACACACGCCACCTGGCCTCCCAGCTTTGGGCAGCAGATGTGGTAGTGCCAGCGCAGTGCCAAGCATCCGGAGCCCGATGTATGGCCTGGCCTGTCCCCCCATCCCCAAGTCGTTTTCCTGCAGCGTGGTCTCCTCCTCTCTGTCTGTTCGGAGCCGTGGGTCTAAGCTCCGCCCACTGCCGCTCCACCACAGCTTCTCAACCTCCAACTCCAGTTTCACATCCTTAACTGTCCAGAGCGGTCCTCCCTGCTTGGCTCCTGACTGAAGCAAATATGCAATTCTTTATCGTTTCCTGAGGCATCTGCAAATGGTTTAGTATTCATCATCATTTTCTAAACAGTTTTCTCACTACTTCTCATCTTCTCAGTATCTTTCCACATAATTAACAGCAGCATAAATGAGGGACTACGTAAGCTTTACTTCTTGGCCTTAAACTGATAGATTTGGTGGATGAGAAGGAAAAGTACGAATGAAACTACAGGAAAATGCAGAGTTCTGAAGTTGGGAACACTCAACCAGCTAAAATCTATATAGAGTCTGGGAGGAAATGTAAAGCTTAATGATAAAAAAAAAAGGCTTATTTGCTATTTTGACAATGATTATTTAAAAAGAAAACATTGCTTTTCAAAAAAACTGTAACTTTTTCATAGTTGTTGGTTAAAGGTCCTATTACAGAATTACAAAATTAACTCTTATGAGCTTTACACCATATTAGAATGCTATTACCTCAGCAAAAACATACTGGAGTTGTGTTTTGTTTCATTCCCTTTTACCTTTAGTTCAGTAGAGACTGGCAATTCCAGGGCTGAAATTATCCAAATTATTCTAGTGAAGGTGTATGGAGTTTAAAAACACAGTAGAACACTTCCTGTATTACCACAACATCACAAGAGTGCTTTCTGTTTGAGAGAAGAACTCAGCAAGATTTGTGCATTAAACATGTGTGAATGAAACAAAACACAAGTCCATGTATGTTTTTAATGAGGAAACAACATTATAACATAGATCAGATATAATATGGGCTCTTTAAGGCAGTCATGTTCTCAGGAGGCTTTTGCAGGTTAAGTTTCCGTACGCTATTACATCAGCTCTAGCCTCAAGTACTACAACAATAAGAAACCAAGTATTTCTGAGGTTTCTAAGCACTGATATTGTGTAAATTTCAATATAAACAACATGACAATATACAATTTACATGTATTTTGTAAATCAACTTGAACATATTAAAATGTTACCAAAAGTTAGTTGCGGTCACAGTATTACAATATAAAATGAAACCCTTCCTTTAGTAATTTGTCCTTGGAGTCTATTGGAGTAACGTTTTTGGCCTTGTGCCATGGCAATAACAGGTGCAATAATGAGCAGGGAAAACATTAAAATGAATCTTGTTAGCTAATTTGCTGGTTAATTGCACATGTCACCCGTGTGGAGATTGTTTTACAGGTGACATAAACCACCACAATAACAAATGGTCGGTTTAATTTAATTGTTGTTGCCATTGTGATTTCACTTTGTTACAGTAAGCAACATCTGTAGTGCAATGTTAATAAGACTGCATATGGGATCAGCATTAAATCCATGTAAGAGTAATGAATTTGCTCAAATCAATGCTAATATGATAAATATGATGCTAAGTATAAGCTGAAATATTGGCTACCATCTGCCTGGGGGTAAACTGGATACGATGAAGATTAGCAATGAAAGCTAGATGTAATGTGTTATTATAGACATTCAAATTTGGGGGTAAAAGTAAGCCTTTGACAAGTTCACTAGCCCCTTTGAAATAGTGTGTAATTACCACAGACTGTATATAAATGGACACAGCTAACTCACTATAGTTGGAAGTTCATGGGGGTGATTCCGGCTCCATCGACTTTTCAATTAACTTTACTTTAGGAAATTGTCACCCCTCTCTGTAACTGCTGCAGTGAGACTCGACATTTTGGTTTTAAAATGTTCGTATTATCCCACTCTACATGATCCTTGTGTTTTTATTTCAATTTTTAATTTTTCCTAATATGGACCTGGCTTCAAAGCTCCTGTAACTCCTAGCATCATGAGCTTCATTTGACTGGAGGTGAACACTATGGGTGATGTCACACTCCCTTAGTCCACTTCTTTTTACAGTCTAGGTATTTATTCAAGTGTTGATCACCTACTTGCAACAGAGAAGTTATTTAGTGGATAGGGAAGGTCTGCGTCTTGAGGTTTCTCTTTGTAACCAATGAACGAACCGTCTGTCTTGAGCAGGAAGTACCGTGGGCGCCAGTTCTTTATGTATTCACCTGGAAACAAGCAGAAAAAACTGTTAAAATACATTTTCTCAACCACACATTCAGTTAATATGATGGGGCTAATCTGACTTCATCATATCATCTATAGATCAATGATATAGGATAGCGATTATATAGATTATTTAAATACAGATTTGATTCCCTTGACATCTGAGCGCCTGTCTGTTCAGGCCTGGCTCTCATCTGTCCAAAGAGAGTCCCTGGGTGTACGGTGTGGTTGCCAGATTCTGATCGGATTATCATGTTAAAAAAATGACAAAAACATGTTTACCAGCACAACAGTTGAACTAACCCTGCCAGCATCATCATCTGGCTGACACATAGGCAGGTGCCACGGTGGTGACCCTGATATCGAGCGCACACAGGACTCCACATGCTAACACACACACACACGATCACACACACAAACACGCACGCACGCACACATGCTTCTTGGGACATGACACTGACTTACATTCACTTCCTGGAGACTAGACCAATTTTTTGTTTTGTTTTTTTAAGCTCTGCAGATATTTTTGAGCACATATGCAGGACGGATTTTTTTTTTTTTAACCTCCAAATGATGCACTTTAAATTTACTCCGAATTTACCACAGCCTTTTTACACTATGCACTAAAGCTTTATTTTTATTATTTTTAGGTTGCAGATCCCCACAAACAAAACATAATAATAATAATAATAATAATACTATTACTACTACTACTACTACTACTACTACTGCTACTAGTACTACTACCACTACTACTACAACTACCACTACTACTACTACTACTACTACTACTACAACTACTACTACAACTACTACTACAACTACTACTACTACTAACTACTACTACTACTACTACTACTACTAATAATAATAATAATAATAATAATAATAATAATAATAATAATAATAATAATATTAAAGGATTTAACATCAGATTTTTGCCCCGATAAGAAAGGCAAAAAATAAATGATCACACTTTTTCCCCCTTCAAAGTGCTTTACATCAAGGAACCACTGACCCATTCATGGACAGATTCATACATCAGTGTAGGCAGACAATGCGGATACAGTGGGTGTTAAGTGTCTTGCCCAAGGACATAAGGACAGCATTCATCTGTGGAAGCTGGAATCAATCTGACCGCTCAACCAGTGATGTTCATGTCAAGAGCGGGATTTGAACTGTCAACTTTGTGAAAATGCAGTATTCTGTGGTAATACACTGAGTTCATGGGTCTAGTCAGTAATAAAAATGATCAGGCTCAACATGTGTGCATTTACATTTAGGTTATTTCATGGCAAAGTACAATGCTATTAATAGGCCCCCATCTGAGAGCAGGACATCATCACATTCAAGAATCTGAAAACTACAATACAGATTTTAGTCCCCACAGTATGATAAATGCCCATAGAAATGCACACACATACACACGCATATCGGAGGTACAGTGTTTCCGATTGGAGGAAGGATGAGGCAACATGAGAAAGCACAAAGTGAGGAAGGAGCTGACATGCTGTGGGGTGGGATTACATGGAGTGGATGACCCTTCTTAGACTGCAGCAACAAACAACAACATCTGGTGAGCAGCTGGTGACGGAGTATTAGCCGACTGGCACTGAGGTATAGCACCACAGCGTTATCAGATTACCCTCGGCAGGATTACATCAGTGTCAAACATGACCACAGCACACTGCCTGAGAACTGTTTGTAGAGTCACACTTAGTCAGTCCTCGCCGTGGCAACAAATGTCTGGAATAAGGCTGTGCTGACCAGAAATCTAAGATCTCTACAAGCTCGGCGCCTACAAATAACTTAGTACAATTTATAACAGTTAACAAAGATTATATTTCACCTCTAGATTTAAAAAAAAAGTTTCCTCAAATAAAGTTAATGTGCTCGTTTTTCATCACTCTGAAGCCCATGGATATAGAATTTAAAGCTGACATATCATGCAAAATCATCTTTTTTGGCGCTTGCATGCCTTTAATTGTGTATTTTATGATGCCACTTATGATTATGCCAAAGGCTGAAAAAAAAGTATAATAATTGAAAACTTTTTATCATAATGGATGCGTTAAAACATGCAGAGGATAAATGTGTAAAAGTGTTACATTCTTTTCCACCTGTGAAGATCTGAAATGAATGAAATGAGTAAAAGATTCACTTCACGTGAGCAGGGTCTCTGTTAATGTGCATATTAAAGCTGCACTGCGCAACTTTTGTGGTGGAGAGAACTTTTTTGATGGAATATTCTAGACAAAGCAATAACATTTCCACAGAAACAGCGGCACAGTACACAGTACACCTTTAAAGCAGGTAACTGTCCCTCTCCTCTGCACACACAGATCTGGTGCAGAGGAGTTTGATCACCTCTTCAGGCTGGTCCTCCAACAGAGACCAGGACGAGCGGCCGGTGTGTGCGCTCCATTTGTGACATCCATTTAAAGCGGAAATGACAGCAGGCCGCGCTCGTTAACACGTCGCTGAAAAACACCTGCTCCGCTGATGGGAGCGTATGAGATGGCGGGCCGCTCCTGTACCTCTGGGTGGGGAAGGTGTGTGTCTGTGGGAGCGGGGAGGGATTTGAACCAGCAAACAGGGACAACAAGGCAGCTAGACGAAGCCAAACAAGAGAATGCTGTTCAGTGCCAATGCGTCATCCGGATTAACAAATCACACCTTTCCTTTCATCCATTATCCCAGCTTTGAATATTTTTTTTTTTTATTTTCACAAATCCACCCACTCAGCCTCCTTCTCCCATTTACTGTTTACTCCTGTTCTGTCAGGAACAAAGCATATTCTTTGGATAGCTGTCTGCTTACAAACAGACTGGTGTGAGAGGGGCGGTGGACTGTGAGAGCTTGGGGGGAGCAGCCAAATAACCATGCAAAAACTAATGTTGTGTAACTTGAAATGAGTAATACTACTATTACTCCAAGAGGGTTCATGTTAGTTTGCATCTATCAGTTTCATAGTAATGCGCTTTAGTGGAATAAAGGCCTTGGTTTCTGAAGCTGGATGTTGTTGCAGTGAAACTACACTTTGGACAACAATCGACTGGATGCTTCACTTAGGGGTGCTTCATGACAGTTATTTGTCTACTTATGTTGTTTATTGAATTACTTTTGACCTCTTTATCATTGTTTTTTCTGTTAAGAGTAATGTATCTCTGGACCTTTGTGATTGCACAGTCTGGTCAGCTCCAGGCCTCACCTGCTCAAATATAAAGAGTACAAAACCAAAAGCACAACCAAGAGAAAACTCAGCCTTTTCAATTATGTTTTTAGAAGAGGTCAACCACACCTGGAAGGTGTTCCCTTTCAGCTTACACAACAGTGGATTTGCGGTGAGCACAGAAGCGGCAGTATAAAAATCTGGCGAACTGAACAGGAGTGAAATATGAATTGTTTAACAAATGGAAGGAAATAAAAAGAAAGTTAACTGATAAACTATTAAAAACTGGCAGTGATGAGCGGCCTGCTGGTCTGCCGCCAGTCTTTTCTCTGAGTCAGTTTCTACATCAAGTGTCCAACCAATGGAAGCCTGTGGCTGGCCACTTCATCGCTCAGCTGTCCAGTACAACTGAAAACATTTAAGCAATCCTTCTGGCCGGGCTGAGGCAGAGCGCTCACGTCCACTGGGGGCGGGGGAGGGGGCAGCCAGGGGTGGCACAGACGGAGAGAGGAGATGGACAGTTGTCCAGACAGAACCGTCCAAACAAACACAGGCACGCACCAGCGCAAACACGCACACATGCACTAACACTGTGCTGTTTGGGCCCTTCCAAATCTCCCAAAGATCCAATGGTGTTCTGTCAAGCTATCCCGTCTTGGCCCTGGCTGTAATGAGTCCAGCGAGCTCTCCCACTCTGGACAGCTTGTCTGGGGAGCCACATGTCTCTGGTTTGGACTGCTGGAGAAAACAGAACAGCCGGTCTCCTTCCCACACCATCTCTCTCGGACTCCGCACTTCAGTTTCATTAAGTTTGCAGCACAACTTTACTTTTCCCTTAAGGCCAATTAGTAAATACTACACTATAGACTTCTTAAGACAACGGGAGTCTCTTGTTTCTTGTTAGAACTACATATATCAGCAAATAGGATATTGAGAAGATGTTTGGACACATTAAACCTTTGTGTAGCCACGCATTCCAAAATAAAGTGTATCACAACTTTTCTGTTTGATGCAATCTTGTTTGAGTTAGTGTTCTAGTTAAATACGGGAACACACTGTCACATTGAATTTGTAGATATAATAAGCCTTAATAAAGACCAAACCAGACTTTTAAAAAATCATTTAGATTTTCAACAGAAAGTCTTGCTGGCACCGCCGCCTTTTTCAGCTTGTGGATTTAGTGGTAAGAGGCAAAAATGAATCAGCTGTGACTGTGCCCGTTCCAAGCTTTCTGATTGGACAATTACAACAAGGTACCGAGTAACTGCCACTCAATTAGCTGACTGATTAACTATTCGTTTCAGGACAGAGGGGGGCATGGCGAGTGAGCAGAACTGGAGACAGGTAGCAAATTGTAACTCTGAAATAGCGCCAACAAAGTGAGTCACAGAAACTTTTCTCCGTCCTTCGCCTCCGTCTTCTTCCGAACACCTCCGATCTCATGCCTGATGCTATAAACAACGGCGAGGAAAGCAGGGTGAAAGAAAAACATCTCCGACAAATAAATAACTCCATAACTATGTGAGCTCACCAGCCATTTGTTAATCAACTCAAACAGGGATTTAATTTAATGCTTTGGCCAAGGTTGGAGCTGATATGCAGATGGCGCAGAGATGGGGCTGTGTGACTGGCGCTCTGGGAACTGGAGAGAGAGGAAGAGGGGGAGGAAGAGGGGAGGAAGAGGGGGAGGAAGAGGGGAGACTGGGGTTGGGATAGGTGGGGGGGTGAGGGATTAGGGTGCGACAGCTCTGTCACGTTCCAGCACACAGCAGCTCAACAGCACAGAGAGAGAAGCCTGTCAAATTCAAATATACAGAAAGACAGAGATAA